CGTCATCGTCATCATCATTCTCAGTATCTCCACTTATATTCGTGTCTAACGAAGTGAACATTTCATTATCTGCACCTTCGCCAGCGTTTCCACCAACATCTTCAGCATCGCTGCCAATGGAAGTCTCACTGGAGGACAATGATAGACGTGAACGATTCTCACTTTGTATTATGCAAACAAGTTGATTCGGTTTTTGTTTATGAAAAGCATTCTTTTCATTGCCAGCTTCCGCTGATGCTCCCCCTTTTTCTCGTACCGAATTTGAAAAGCTATTTCCCGTTGAATTTCGACTAGTGGACGGCGTAGGTGTGGCTTCAAGTTTTTTATCTAGTTTAATGGAATTATTTTTACTGCCATCATTAGACGCTGTAGTGGCAGCATTAACGGACAGAATAGATGTATCAGAGCTGCTTGAGCGAGGCTGTTGTGTGTGCGTATTTAAAATGTTGGTGCGAAATACTAACACGGCATCACGTGAACCCAAACTTCCACTTGTAATCCAATCTGTCTCACCCGGTTTCTCGATCCTCCTGCATGATCTGTAATCAAGTATTGAATTTAAACTAACTCAAAAATTGCGAGCAAAAAATGCAGAAAGGATGAAGAAGGAAATGGAATGCTTTGAATATGTAGCAAAATGACGTCTTATAAATATAGTCATGCAGTGTATTGTAAGTTTATATTATATCCAAATATAAGAGTGATTTTTCTTAAAAATAAAATCGCAGTTTCATTTCGGGTAAGGTTAATAAATTCCCTAAAACTGTCACTTTTTTCACTTTAGAAAATTTATTAAATTAGTTGCATGTATTTTGATAGTTTTTTCACTTGAACAAGGCATTTATTGAGAAAAGTTGGTCCAACATACATTAATCAAAATATTTTCCATTATTTTCCACACTTTTTCCCATTTTGTCGCACGAACGACACCGGTTTGGAAGCGATCCAATCATCGACCCATTTTCGTACCGCTTCGACTTTGCGGAGTTGCGTGCCAGCTATGCCATAATGCCAACTATGTGATAATCAGAAGGCGCCGTGTCTGGTGAGCCTGCTGGGTACAACAGCTGCAACATCGTTATCCTGGACAACTCTTGCAACATCTTGTCAAAAAATGGCGTTTTCAGTCAATTCGTGTCGCCACATTTAAACCGTTGAAACCAAAACCAACAATTGGGATAAGATGGAGCAGCATCACTAAAAGCTTCTGAACATATTTGGTGGCCTTCAGCAAAAGGAATTATGATTTTTAATTTGTTTCTACTTTTACAAGTAACTCTTCATCAATCAATTTTTTCTTCTATTAGGTATTTGCATGTATTTTGATAGGCGACTTCTACAAGAAAAGTTGGTAAAGAAATGGGAAATATCAGTGTACATAACGATTAAATTCGATGCTTTTGACATTTTCCTACATGAAATAACAGATTTCGATTTAATATTATTGATTTATTCAGCGCACGCCGACGCTAATCATGGAACCTTAAAATTTCATTTCCGATCTTCATTACTTTTGTTGTTTAACTTGAAGATATCTAAGGCGGCTATCATACGAATTGACTGAAAATGACATTTCGAACCTTTTCAACATCGTGGTTTCATTTGTTTGCTAGGCAAAAAAGGGGTTGTTTGTGGCGTATTGTGACTGGTGATGAGAAGCGAATCTACTACGACAATTCCAAGCGCAAAAACTCATTAGTTAGGCCAGGAGAGGTATCCATCATATCGATATCGAAGCGGAATATTCATGGCCATAAAGTACTGCTGTGTATATGGTGGGCTCAGTAAGGTGTAGTGTGTTACGAGCCGCTAAAACCGAATTGAATTGTGACTGCAACAACGTCAATTGAACAAACTGAGCGATGCAATTTTGCAAGAAACACCATGAAAAGCGGCCAAAATGGCTACCATACGAATTAACGGAAAATGACAGTGTCGCCACTTGTTGCAATTTTTGTCAAAGATACACTGTTGCAGCTCGAATGGGAAGTTCTGTTACCCCCGTGTACTCACTAGACATGGTGCCTTCTAATTACCGCTTCTTCAGATCGATGCAGCATGGCATGGCTGGCACGCGGCTCCGCAAAATTGAAGAAGTGCGAAAATGAGTTAATGATTGGTTCGCTGCCAATGTCGCCCTTCCAACGCGACACGTTGCCAAAAAGGTCGAAAAAAGTTATAGAAATTGATGGAAAATATTTTGATTAGCATATAGTGCACCAATTTTCTCCATAAATGCCTTTGTCCAAGTCAAAAATAATCAAAATACATGCAAGCACTTACCAGTTAAGTTTTTATATCATTCTAAGAGACAGGGGAAATCTAATGTAATACTTTAGCGAATCTCGATGAATTTTTTTTTTTTAAATTATATTTTGTAATTCTTTCTAATCTCCTTTAGCCGCGCTTGTATAGGCCGCTTCCCCATGATCGATCGATAAAAAAAAAAGAAAGATCGGAATTAATCAAAACTCAAATTTTTTCTCATATTCTACGCTATTACATTACTTCCTATTAGTCCGCATATTTGGAGAAAAAAGCGGGGAGGTGCTTAAGTACCGAGAAAGTGAAATGATTTTACGAATATTTGAACGCCTTGAGAGCTTATTAATTTAAAAGACAGGAAGTGCTACAGAACTTGCGCAAATTTTTTTCACATTATTTTGCATATCTGCAACGTGCGATGTGCTACTCGATAAACTACAAATAACACAAACACATATGATTTATTATATTTGTTTCTACGGGAATTATAACATAAAGAAAAAAAAAGAAGAAAAAGTCTACTGTTTGGTATTTATTTAGCGAGCACATAGGCGTATGTGTTCACATGTATTAGTTTGTTCCAAAGCAGGAGTTTTAAAATTTAATTTTTAAGGGTTTGTTTTTAGTGTTTTTGGTAAAAACATTGCCAACAGAAAACGCTATTGAAAGAAAAAACTGTTCATGTGTGTGTATATTGGTAATTTGCTTTACTTGTTTATTTGTTATATTTTTTTTTTTAATTTTTTTTTTTTAATTAAGAAAACTTTACCGTTTAACATTTTTATTTCTTTTCAAACTTTCAACTCGTTTCCGTGACAGATCGAAAAGTTTTCTTGACATGTCTAAACGTTCTTCATACGCCATTTTCAAACAGTTTGATAGCATCGGCGATCTCAGACATCTCAAAGCATTTATGCAAAAACAATAGTTTTAAAATGTAAAATAATATGCGATCCGATTCAAATTGATGAACGATTAATATTATATGCGATAAAAATTTTTACACCCACCACCAAGTGAAATAAAGGCGTACGCTCTCCACTACTACTAAATTATTTAAAATTCGTTCGTTGGTGTTCCTTTTTCTGAATTATACATTACAAGGAGATTTCGGTAATAGTGTATGTTTTATTGATCAACACAAGATCTCCCAACTGATATACCAGGATTACTTTATTCATACATACATCTGTTTCGCGGTGTACTGTTAAAACGCTTTCAAAATGGAAAATTACACTTTGTCGTATGTACAGTCAACGCAATTAAGCTCATACTACTTGCTTATAACTGTACAACTTTAATCAGTAAGTCATAGCATCATGCATCGATTAAAATCAAATCAGAAATAACATCCTCCTTCCCGTCCCCCTTAACTCCATTCAACGTTTGCGGTCGAAATATAATTATCTATTTGCACGGACAGACAGACAGATAAACCTTATTACAAATAAAATATTTCGGCACTTTTTACATCAGTTTAAGATGGCGGGTATCAAAAAATCCATCTCGAGATGAATATATTTTTTTATTTGTTAAAATTTATTGTAACTTACGTTGCGTTACTTGTAGGAGCGACGGCATTTGTTGCGGGCATACCGGATCTGAAATAAACAGTACACAAGTACAACGTAAATTATTATTTAACTTTCCTAAAAGAACGTGAAAATTAATCTTAAGCACAAGGTCGCGCTCATTACAATCTTATCAAGCCTGTATCTGAATCCGTATCGAAAATGCAAAAAAAAAAAAATGTGAATTGTGAACTTCTCGAAATAATTAGTTAGGCTGAAGAAGTTAGGCTAAGACATTTTTTCTTTCTTTTTTTTTTGCAATCGCGGTAATAAGAATGGAAAGGCGGTCAAAAACTCCATCCAAAAAGTCATCTATTGAAAAAGGAAGATTGAATACACCGCGATGCCAGCGCTTTGCACTTCAATGCGCTTTTATTTAATTAAAATTATTTTCTGCGTTAATAATGAGCGCTTCTTTTCCTAAAAGCAACTTATAAAGAACTATATCCCCCTAGTGTGGATGCCAACGATATTCGATTTTAACCTCAATGTTCACGATTCCCGTGCCCTCCAACATTGCTTTGTAAGCTTTCGCGCTTCGCAAAAGCCTCAAAAACTAAGTTATGTCTGCGGTTTTTAAACGGTATACTCTATACATTGCGCCAAGCTTGAAGATATGAGTTTATTATGGAAAAATTATAGGTCGCCACATCGTTACAGATAAAGTAACAATAACTCGTAGAAAAACTACGGTTTGACTATGTACGCCTTTGTCAAACAGACGTACATGCTAACAATTACAAGCTTACGCTTTCCAAATATTCCAGCAGATTAGCTTCATGTTTAAAAACACGAATCGGAAAACGAAACGGAAAAGTATATCAAGGTCGTGCCGAACGGACTTATCTCACACAATGCCTATCAAGTAACACCCTAAAAACTGGATCTTCTTAACATACATGGATGAAAAAATGTTTGCAATAGATACGGTATGACATAATCGCAACTAATGTTGAAGTCATCGATTTTCGGCGATAAAATTATTTTCAAAATGAAAAATATTTTCCACATAATGCATGACCTTTCGGCAAGATTAGTGCAGATGTTAGTGTGGCAAGTTTCATCAAAATATCTCGAACATTGCTACGTGTAGGTACATGGCAGAGACATGCTTAATATGTATATATATGTATGTTTGTATACATCTACAATATCTGGTCAGTTGTCCTCCTATTTTTCCAGACATATATAGATGCGGATCTATCTCAAAATCTTTTTTGTACCATGAACCTTATCAAGAGTAGTGTAAGATATCCTCCATGGGTTCCTTTTCTTTTGTTACGCGCGCCAATCTAGATCGAAGACGAATTAATTATAAAAGAGATGATAAAAAAAAAGGCTAGCAAATATTTCTATTTCTGACAAGAGGGACGATAGGTAGCCAGAGAAAAACTTGAGGCTATATTTCTGCTTTTTTATTTCCAAAAGACAACTCTATTCCATATTTGTGACATTACGACTACATAGCGGGAGGTTGCGAAAACATGGACCGCACCATATTGCCCTGTAAACGATACTACCCTCTTAATTGTTATGTCTAAGGTTGTATGTACGGCGGCAAAGATAATTATTTTATTTTTATCATTTTTTATTCTTGTGACATTTAAAATATGCTGCGTGCTATTTCCCCTCGTCAATTCTTTCCAACCCCATCCGCCTTCTTGATTGCCGACGCGAACGTACCACTCGTGCGGGCTGAACTGTATATTAAAAAAGAAAAAAAAAATCGAAAATCCATCATCAACACATTTTTAAGGTATCATCACTTTTTTGCATATTTGCTGCAAAAATGTTTAGTGCAGCGTATGTAGTCTCTGGCCTGTTTCTCTTCGTACAAGGCATTGCTGATAGTAGATATATTCCAAAGCCTTTTCCAGTTAAAGTGAAATTTTCATTATTTATGTATAGTTTTTTATGAACCTTAAGACCTTCATGCTCCCGTAAGAAATATTTCTTTTCATTTAACTCATCTCTGATCTGCTCTATAGCTCTCTATCGATTCTTTATGAAATCAATCTCTCCGCTTTCAAATGTGTCTTTCATTTATATATATTAAATGAAATCGTGTCAAAATGATAAAAGTAAACCTTTTTTTCTTTTTACGCTTTAAGACGTTCAAAATAATGCAATAAATTACGATTTGATGACAAATAATTTGAACCTTTAGTTATACACTTTTTTATTATTATTATTATTATTATATATATTCTTTTTTCTTATTTTCTTTCGCACTCGCATTTATGACTAACATTTTGAATGGAAAAATAATGTATATTTAAATTTACGCAAACAGTACTCCACTCAGTGCCATATATATACATCTATATATATATAGTGAATAATGTTTTATGTATTGTTAATAATGATTTTGAATAGTCAGTCACACGTGTTCCGTTTACGGTTTAACGATGGTCTGTGGTTTCCTTTCAACTAAATCATAGCTGAAAGTTAAATGTTTAGCAACTCTTGCAAAATATATGTAAAAACTAAAAAAAAAAAAAAAAAAAAATTAAAGAAAGAAATACTTACATGTTTCGTAGGCAGTGAGTGAGTGAGTGATAAGTAACTTGCTTTGTCGATGTGGAAACGCCAAAGTTATTTGGCGTAGAAAGAGTTACCAAATATGTTTGACATCAGTCGTCAACAAAGTAAGTATAATATGGTATGACTATACTTACTTCCTAATATCTTAAACATGCTACAAAGGAACATGCATGCGCGCATGCATGAATTAATTCTAAATTACATATTAGGGGACGGTAGCAAGGAGCATGATTTCATCTATTCTTTTTAAGCCCATATCACGTGTCATATATACCTTGACATTATATAATAACTTTTTCATGTTGCAAAATTGACACATTTATATTAACTGCCTAAGCGAAGTTATTTCTTCAATCACAAGAAGAGGAAGGCATCGACTGAAAGTTTTTACACTTCGGTACGATATAAATTAATTTTTTATTGTTTACAAAATAATCCATTTGAAAAATAAGCGGAAATATCAAAGCAAGGAGACGTTCTTCTTCAAAGAAACAAAGTGAGGGAGGGAGGGACGGACGGACGGACAGACAGACAGAAAGAAGGGAAGGGATAGAGAGAAAGAGCGAAAGAAAGAAGAGCGGGCGGACGGACAGACAGATCAAAACAGAGAGAAAGATACACCAGCGGAAACTACCCTATAATTAGTATATTGTATAATTGTTGCATATATTGCAGTTTAGTTAAAAGAAGGGCTCGCCGTAGTCAAGCGTCTTTATGTTCATTTGAAGATCGCTTGGTCAATGTAATGAAAGTTCGTTGAAAAATCCTTTAAATTCTAGAGATATAGAAAAACAAAAATTTACAAAATCATTTTAGGACATATGAAAGGGCAAGGACAGTGGGGATAGAAAGCAGACTGTGTTCGTTGTGCTTCTGTGGCTTATGCCAGACTCTTATATCCTTCGCTACGTGACGAGCCTTTGAGAACCGCCATTTCAAATCAAGTTGTGAAGAGACACACCAAACAGAAGTATATGTTGACCTCGCAGCGATATCAAAAAAATTTAAGAAAAAAATTCTTCATTTCTAAGCAGCATAATGCGCTTTCAGCTTCGGACACTTTTCCCAACAATGCCCGTTAGCTTCGATGCGCTGTTTGTGGTGAAAATTCTTCGAGTTTCTTCAAACAGTCTTTAACCAGAGATAAGTCATCCTTTCATGTTATTCTCAAGTCTTTTACTTCAGAGCTCTTATAAGTTTATAGTAAGAAAAAATGAACGGCGGACTGAAACAATGGCGTATAAGGAAAGAGGGAAGCCGAAGTTTAGCCCTTCCTCCTATCCAAGTTTACAATCAATAATGTTTTTAAATCATTTGGTCGACAACGGTCGTGTTCACTTCATCTTGCCCTGATTTAACCTCTACCTCTTAATATTTTATTGTTGTAAACTACTCGACAGTATAATCGAATTCTGCCTCGACATTAACGAAGTAACGAACCAATTCTGTCCAATTGCCTTTATATATGTATATAATTCTCAATCTATCTATTAAAAAATAATAAGTAGATGTTATGGCGTTACAAATAATTGAAGCTTTTGTTCCCCAAAGAGAGCAATATAACAATATAGATACGATGTTTAAGTCAACAAATAAAAGGTACTGTAAGGAGCTTGGAGGATTCAATGTAATAACTTAATGATCGATTCAGTGCGTGATACCCTTTCAATCCTCCCAATATTGCCAGAAGCATCACGTGATGGCTAAGTTATAGATCAAATCTATACAATTTGTCCAGAAATATTGCAGAGAAGCGTTGGATTTAGTCTAAAGACTAGGGCATTTCAAGACCATCTTTAAGATCTTTATTACAGGCTAACCACGCGTGATATGTTTGTATAATTTCAATACTTCAATGTGCGTGTCGTAGGTTCAAATGATTTGAAGGTTTATCTTACGTAGACCTTCTAGATTAAGTTTCGATTCTGAGTTTCCCACTTGAATCGCTAACGTTTAGCTTTCATAAGGTCTTTCCATATGGTTCTCCCTCGATCTATCCGGATATTTTGCACAATTTTTATCAACGAAAAATATCATCCAAGGTTTCACTATCAAACAAATACAAGACCGTGCATCGTCTTTAAAGATATACTGCCAATTAGTAATTTTGTTTTGATTGTTTTCAAACTACCGAAATTTTCACGTCAGTACGACTATCTCCCGGGCAAAGACCATGCTTTGTTAACTGCGAACGCGTCAATTACTCGAAAAGGACTTTACGCAAAGCACGGCTTGTAATTAATTCTAAAAAGTATTGAAAATTTGCAAATTTTAGACGCCTACATTTGGCAACTTATTTTGTTCTATATTTCAGACGAATACACTCCTTTCACGTTTTAAGTTATACATATTTATGACTATCCTCTGCGTAACTACAAATGTTCAAGCGACAGACGAATGGATGTACGGACGCGCAGGCATAGATCAAGCAAATATAGATCAAAGTTTTCCGCTAATATCGGATACATATGGTGCAGATTTCCACGAATGCTAGATCTCTAGCAACCTGCACATTTCGTAATACTGATTTGAGCAGACAGATTCCATCCTCGATGGCGGATAGAATCAAAGAAAAAGATAAGGCTGGATATTTTCATATTTGTCTCTGTATTTGCCTGTCGAATTTTGAAACAAAAACGAGAAGAGATTGTTGTCCGGCAATATCGTCCATAGAGAAGATATATTTATTTAGAAAAACAAAAACTGCTTATACAAGATGAACATAGGGAGGGGTTCCCGTCACATGTGATCCCAACTAATACGTATTTTTATTTCTTCCGGAACTTAAGGAGACACATAGGCGTCAAATAAGCTGTGTATGAGGCGCAATGTAATGTCAGCAATTAGCAGCGGCTTTTACTGAGTAGGCATCTGGACTACAGGTGGGTACTCCAAAAGTTTGCGTTTGCTAACATAAGAGCCATAGAATAAATCCTAGACGCGTTTTCGGTTTATTGACGCATGATTCAATATGTAAATTGACCCTCAACTTTGGATCGAATATGTCCCCCAAGTCGTTATATCTGACCACATCATTCAGTTCACAGCGATCAGCAAAGTAATTAGACACCAATAGAGTTAAACGAACGAAAGGTTTTTACGTTGTTCGCAATATTAGAAAAACCCTGCCTCATACTCCTAACATTACACCTGCTATTAAATAATAGGAGTAAAGTAGGATCTTGAACGTCCACTGAACAAACGAATGGCGCAGTCCGCGAGACACTTACGTTAATGTCATTAGAAAACACAACGTGTAATAAATTCCCATTGACATTGACGTAGACATAATTCGAAAGTTAAGTCAAAGAGCTCAGTATGTAAATCAGGGGTTCAAAATTGGCATAAAATAACATAAGTCTAATCATGTGTCCTAAGACACAAAAGATAAACTGAAGTCGGCCAAATCCGCCTAATTGTCATTAGTTTTCAATTTCGAATTATCACTGATTAAACGGAAATGTTCAACGTAAATAGAAATATCCCATGAAAACGGAAAATAAGGACACAACTACAATAGGCAAAATGATTTCAACATAGCTCTTATAGCGCTAAACCCAACTTTGTCCATGTTATATGGTCCAACAGAACTCACCAATACCGAGCTATGTACAGCAACAAAAACTCCACCTCCCTATGGTCGAAACGACAACTTCTGTCGAAACGATTCGGGGTTTCGGACCGAGGCAGAAATTTACTTGGACTTTCATTATCAGAAACGTTTTCCCACCCAATCTTTAGGCACGTTTTCTGGCTACGTACAAAATATCAATTGATATATCTAGCGGCGAACTTGTGAATGGCGCGGCGAACTTAACTATCTGCTGTACGATCACAACCGTTACAAATGATATATCTATCTAAGGTATATTTAAAAATGTAAGCGAGAATTTAGTAAGCGTTTCCATTCCAAATCATCACAACAAAAAGTAACACATCGGTATTTTCAAAAACTTAAGAACTAAGAAGAAAATTCCGAATAAAAATATAATTCAGTCTTTCTCTAATTATAATCCGGAATAGAAATATAGGTTTTTTTAATACTTTGTAGATTTATGTCAATAAATATTAAATCTACATTAAATTTATAGACTTTACTATGAGGTAGAATATATAAATTAAATCTATAAATTTATTCCGAAGCACCTGGAGCACTATTTTTTAAAGGTGCGCCAAGAGGGACACGCAAAACAATCATAAAACCCAGTATATTAACAGTACCAGATCCACGTTGGACCTGGCACTTTTCAAAGAGGCAACTAATTCTTTGCGAAGTAACAACGCCACTAAATAAACACTCAGAGGCATAGACGTATCGATAGGATACATCAGCTCAGTTAGAACCTCAGTTTCCGACTGTTAATAAGTAATAGTACATAGCAGCCTACATGAGCGATAGGCATTCAATCGGTATTCAACCTTGTTAGCCTATAATTATTCAAATTGAGTATTTCGGGCCGTCGACCAATCAAGACATATATGTATGTTTGTTTAATGTGCACCCAACACAAATTACTATCTAGTTCCCAATTATATCGCTTTTCATCTTCCTTTGATTATTGCCGTAATTAGTCATTTCAATTAAATGATATTCATGCCAACTCCAAAGCGTTCCGAAACGTGTTATTAGAACGGCGACGAGTTTCTTATGTACATCTTCGATGGTTGTATTGCAGTATCGACGACATTGATTTTTTTAAATTTACTTTTGCACGCGTATCAAAACTTTTCTCCAACTCCAACTTTTCTCCATTAAAATTTCTTACCTGCTTTGCTTTTTTAATTATAGCTTTGCCAGTTGGCCGATCGGAATTAACATCTTAAGTGGCCACACGGTGAGCTCATATTTGTTTTTCCTCTGACAAGTAAGTGAAAGTTTTGGCTTCTTATACTCAAGCTTTTAATTATCATGATGTAAATTTATTTCTATAATTTATTTATTTACTTATTTTTTTTCGACTATTTCACACCATACTGAAACTGTTCACCTGCAGCTATTGGTTTTCCGATCTTTCAGAAGACGATTTCCACGGACCAAGTTCATTTTACACTTTGGACTAATACCATCAACCTAGTGTAATGCAAAACAAAAGTTTTCCAAAGGTCGATATTCCGTATTACCCCATGGGGTAAGACAACTTTATAAAATAACCGATGCCATACATATCCCAAAGCAACTTCCATACAGTTTAAAAGTTTTTACAAAGTAAAGAGTAAACAAATCCGAAAGCCATCCTCACACAAAGAGCTTAATGGTCGTACACAACCACATGATCGGATACTAACAATGGCTTGTGTTGAAAAATTGTTGCAAGAGCACGATTCCATTCAGCAAATAGTAAAATAAGTTCCCAACATTAGCGACGCGTGCTAATATTTACTTTGATGGATCTTCTATAAAACCTTACCACGTCTTTAATTGGGGTAGCTCTTGCCATATTTACGATATACTCGATCTTTAGCGCACATAAATCTGACAGAATCCCAGCCTCTGAGAAAACTACAAACTTGTTCCGGTTTGGTAATTTCCTAGGTTTCGCGCCATAAATTAGCTTCGCTAGACAATGTCCCGCCTTTTCCGTTGCGGGCAGTTCTGACTGCTGGATTACTGGATATATTGCTTTCCTCAAAATATCGTTGGCCTCTCCGCAATGTCGTGACTTCACAAGACTATTTGAAATTTCTCGTTGTTTGTAAGAAAGACGATAACTACTATCAATAATATGGTCTACAAGGAATACTTGATCTATTAAAATGGCCGCAATTACCATCTCAGGATCAGGAAGTAATAATCGCCATATGGCCTACTAGGCAGAGATCATTTAACACTTGTAAAACGTATTCAATGAAAGTACTTTTTATTGATATGTCAAAGACAAATACTTTGACCTCAATATCTTCTGCTCTCCGTTTAGTTGTAGCTCTTCGAATGAGACGTTATTTACATTTTGTGTGGAGTTTTAATTTGTCAACCTAACCTTTGAAAGCACTTTGTTCTAAAGGTAACGCCTGTATATATAAATGTATATATAAATATATACAAGCATGGTACTTGTAAAACACTATTTCGATGTTACAAGGTACAAGAATTGAGAGTATAACATGATTTCAAAAAATCGAATTTGCATTGCAAATTTGAATTTGTAATACTGCAACGGCTTCTCATTCAGGTTTAAATGATCTGCAAGAAGGAGTAAGCTTAGCTTTAGAAAGGTTTTTCGTTGCAAAAGATCCTTCAGCAGTACGAAGCGGAAAATTGGAAAGAGAATTGAAATCTACTTTAGCTCCCAGAGAAATTCTGAAAGAATTGCAAAATCGAAATAGGCAGGTATTTGCAACTACGTCAAATAAGTTTTGTAATGATGGAGAAAAAACTACTAAAGAGGAGTTTCAACCAACCGTAAGAAAAAAATTTTTATCATGAAATTTTACACCTTAAGCCATGGTTTCGATATAACACGGTACACATTGTTTTTTTTTATATTATTTTAAGGCCTCGATACTACTACTCGATACTACACGGTGCACCTTGTTTCGTATAACATTGTCTCGATATAGCACGGTACGAATTAATCGTGTTGTACGAGGGACGACTTTATATTTAATTGTAGAATTTGTTATAAATATTCGTTAAAGCATAGTTTCTCGATCAGTTACTATTATTTTGAGCAATCAGACAAATGTAGCTGAATAGCTTTTTACTTCGAAATTGCTTGTTAATTGTCAGATGTGCTTATAAGTAACTATCGCTTATAAGTAAGTAGTTGACCAAAACACAAAATCTTCACATCTACATCACAAAGGGGCAAAGGAATGCAGATTTCCGATGCAAGAAGGAACGTGCTGTAATAGCCCCGGCATTGGCGACAAGACTTTACTAACTTATCAGACATACACAAATTAAAGGGGCATTTTTATATAGAAGATACGCGTTTATTGCATGAAAATGATAAAAATGTTTTATTCGAAATATTTCTCATTCCTTCCACCTATATGACAATCCAACGCGGACAGCATGTCGACTAATTAATCACTCTTCTGAGGCAAACCAGTCATCGAGCTATTTCCTTGCATTTTTGTACGAAATCAAACGCTGTCTGGCAAGTGTATGTCCTGGCGACGCACGCAAGTGGTAAGTAATCTGCATGCGCTGGCACTTCCTAATTGAGCGTTTCCAACGTATCTCGAGTCGATTTTGCCTTGGACGGATCGATGAACGAATGTCAAATAAAACAATAGCCTAGTTTTTCTTTTTGACGTTTCGCTCTTTTTTCAGAAAGCGAACGTTTCAAATCGATTACTTGTTATTGATAGAGTTTGGTATTAACCGCTTCGCCAGACTAACAGCGAATGATATGTCATACTTTTGTCGTGCATCCAAACACAGAATGTCGTCTTCCTGCCAAGGCCATTCAGGCATGCCTGGACCTACCCACGATTATTTACGTTTAAGATTCTTAAAATCTCATCGCCAGTTACGAAGATAAAAATATATGGCTCTACCAAAGAAAATATGCTGCCGGCAAAAGATCTTTATTTGCTACAAAACTTAACATTTTCCAATAAAAGAATTTTTGCATTGCGATATGTGTTGGTATTACGACTGCTTATTGCCCAATCTATAAACAAAAAAAAAAAAAATGCAAACATGTACGCCTTTTCAATTAGGGACACGTATGGGTAGAATCCCGTTTCATATTTACATACCTGGTTTGCTGATATGTAAGAGTACATAAGAATACATGAGATTTGATGCAGAGATCACGATGCGATCAAGAGGTGCTTCTCAGAACGGGTTTCACTTAATAGAATTGAAAATAATATCAATATGCAGTAATAGACAAGCAACTAATTTAGGAGAGCATATCCTTCGATAACGTTAGAAGTTAAATGTGAAACAAATGGATAATATAATAAGTGGCAACATGGGAAGTTCATTCAACCTTGGCGTCAATGTCACGACAGGTCGAAAAACAGTAGAGCAAGGTGGAATTGAAGTTAGGATGTGGCATCACATGCTCTTGATGGTCAACTGATGCGACAAACTCATTGCGAAACGAAGGCCTGTCTTGAGGAGAGCGGTCCATAGAAAGAATATATTTGAAAAATATACTGATTCTATTTAAAACACTGTGCTCGAAATTGAAAAAGGCAACAATTTTTAAGGAAATACATCGATGGTATTCTCTGAAGCAATACCTATGTTCGTGATGATCGGTTTTAAGATGGATCCTGTGCAATCAGTCCAACCATATTGCGCAAACTTTTGCATAATTGCGGCAAAACACAAAATAAAGTTTCGACCTGTCATCAACTTTAAAGTAATCTACAACTTTTTTGTGTTCCGAGTTCAGGCCAGACTCCCTGAAGACAACAGTCGGCAGAAGATATATACGTCGAGACATGACACCTGTTTTGCGCAACCGAGTATGATAATCTTTTTTCCGAAGCGAAAATAGGCGCGACAAGAAGATCGCTCTTTCGGGGCGGCAATATGTATTTAGAAAGCTAAGTTCGCTCATTATTGCAATTAAGCATACAGTCCATCTTAATTAAATAATGAGCTATTCGAAGGGTCTGAGTAAGCGAGGAAGGAGGCAATATAAAGGAGTACTGAATAAAGATGTTGAGACATTCACTGTTAATATTACTTGAGGGAAATAGTAATAGTTTCTACAAGATATTCGCATTGTTGTAGCCTTGGACCTACTAGGAAACTTGGACCTTGGAACTAGGGAAAATTTTCTCCGTTCGAAGATTGATCCACTTTTTTAATTATTAGGTGTTTACAAAAATTTTGATCAGCGACTTCTACAGGCAAAAATGTTAAAGAAAGGGAAAATACCACTGTATATTACGGCTGAATTCGATAGATTTGATCTTCCTCGACCTAAAATAATAGTTTTCCTTTTAATGTTACTAATTTATTCAGCGTAAGCCGACACTAAACATGGAACCCTCCAAATTGCATTTTCGACATTAATTTTTATTGTTGTTTGATTTGAAGATATCTGCTGCCGAAATCCATCAAAACGCGTCCGGAAGCTGACGGTTATGCTGCTCCATCATATCAGAATTATCGGTTTAAGTTGTAGTGATTTTGATGTCAATGACAAAGACGTCCTAGCATGGAGGACCAAAACAGTTCAAGAATCACGAATTGCAAGACTTATTGGCCGAAAATCCAGTACAAACTATCGAAGAACTTTCGACCAGCTTATTAGTTGACGAACCAACTGCTTGTAGACGTTTACACGCGATGGAGGAGATCCAAAAAAAAGGGAAAACCATTGCCTCGCAAATTGGCTGAAAATGAGAGTTTGGCCATTTTGGTTGCAATTGTTGTTAACGATACATTGTTGCCGTTCGAATAGGAAGTTCTCCAACAACCAGTGTACTAACCAGACATGGCGCCGTCTCCTGATTGCCACTTCTTCAACATGGTGCAGCATAGCTTGGCTGGCACGCGAGTCCGCAAAGTTGCGTCGCCCGATTGATTGCTGCCAAGCCAAAATAAGTTCTTTCAACATGATATCGCCATGTTGCCGCAAATATTGTAAAATGTTGTAGAAAATGATCATGTTTCAAGCGAAAAAATGATTAAAACTTTTGCAAGCACCTAACATTTACGAACCGGATTCTTCAACCGGATCCTTGAAAATCAAATTTCCAACTTTTTGTCTTTATCCCAGTGCTTTATAACAGCGTAGAAAGCAAATTCTACGGTGCTAAAGAACGGTTGCGCGCGGGCGATAAATTTAAGAAATGAGCCATCAAAGCAAGAATGTTTAAAAGAGCAATATTTGTGATTAATAAATAGTTTTAGTTAAAAATTAAATTTAAAACATTATTAATTTATAATCCGGCGATACAAACCAGAAAAAAATTAATCGCAATTCCTTATATAATATATAGTCATAACTTATTTCAATGTAAATTACAGTAAAGACAATATCACAAAATCTCCGCCACTAGTCTCCGATGCCACAAGTTAAGGTTACAATATTTCACCCTCTCTTTGAATGCAACAACACAGGCGGATTATTAGTTATAGTCATACTTAATTGGAAAGTTTCCCAAAACAGCGAAAGTTGTTCGCTCGCTCTTTATCTTATTCGAGAATTCGATGCGTTTAGCGGCGTTTTCAATTGTCAAGTTTTAAAAAATATTAAACAAGGAAAATATTTTGCGTACAATTTTATTCAGATTTGGATGTAAACTAAAAACTAAAACAATTCATCTCATAATTTAGTAAAATGCAGTAATTGCTCATCTCCTCCTCCGCAGCAGCAGCAGCTGGTCCGTGTACGTCGATTAATTGCTTTTATACGCCATTCATTATCCATAAGCTGAGGAGAAAATATTATTCCATTTTACTTGAACTTGAACTTCTTTCTTTTTCTTTCTTTCTGCCCATAGCTAGCGCAAGCACGAGTTTTTAGTTTTGAATAAATTAATTTTACGTTTTTACGATTATCAAAATGAAATCGCGTTTTTCATACTTATCATATTACATTAACTTATCTGTTTACATTCCTCCTTTTTTTCTTTCTTTCCTTCCTTTCTCTTTTAAATCCATTTGATTATTCACCGATTGACTATGTATGATTTCTTTTAGTACAAATTTCATATGAAAACAAAAAAAAATATTAATATTTTTGTCTATAACATAATAATCATCATATGAAATAATGTGTATATATACTTATGTATATCATACTCTGGTGGTAATTTAAAAATTTGGAGTGGTTTGTTGTTGTAAAACAAAAGTGAACTCTGGCTGAATTTCTCAATATATTGAGAACATTTAGATGAATCTTGAATTAATATCTAAAGTATATATATGTAAACTACAAACACATACATCATTCATTCCAAGACCATGTTGTTACTGCATAACATAAAATATCTTACAAGCTACACGTGTAACTACGTTTATCAAATATGATTTAATATCTCGACCAATTGCCACCGCCTCGGTTGTATTGATTTCCTTGGAAGCCCACATTCCATATGCCCGAAGAGAACTGATTATTCCAAAAAGATACTGAAGATTGTTGTATTGACCGGAATTAACCAACAGCAGCATATTGTTGATTATTCTGGTGGTAGCCTATCATCATATTGGCGTTATTATAGCCTCCTGGTGGTGCTCCAGAATTTACAGCATTTGCATTCATATTGCTTCTCATCATTGGTGTTGTATTGGTAAAATAATTTCCACCTGAAAACGAATTTGGGAACGCAGTAGTAGTAGCAGAAGGATTCATTGATATATTTTGATAATTCATATTGGTATTGACGTTTCCCAGAAATTGACTAGCATTGGAACGGGCGTCGGATTCTTTATTAACTGCCTGCATTGGCGCTTGTTGTTTACTCTTGTCCGCAACTTGATTTCTAATAATTTCTTCTCGTCCTAATGTTTCTTCATTACTTGGTGAAGTATTTTTTAATAAATCCGCGAGAGTTTCAGATAAAGTCTTGCAATTATTATTGGAGGGATTATTTGATTTTTTTTTACCAGTCGTAGTACCGGCTTCACGTTTCTTCTTTTCTATTAGAGAGTACACAGCAATAAGTTTCTGTAATTGTTGTACATCAAAATCAGTCTTGCCTTGCGCTACCAAAGAGGAAGCCAATTTACTGGCCAATTCCTTTTTATCTGCTTGCGTTAGAAGAGGAGTTAATGTGGTTGGCAAAGTTTGCTCATTTGAGACGTTAACAGGCAGCGTTGCTTCTACAGACATTGCATTGCTTGATGACTGTACAAATGCTTGCTTTGACGAGTTTATTGCACGTGAGTTATTAGATGATTGCATGGTATTAAAACCACCAGGACTAACATATCCAGACGATACTGTGTTGCCTTTGGGAAAAGTCTGAATACAATTGCCTATATTTGTTCGCGGACGAACTTCTTCAGCATAATTGAATAATCTTTCTGCTTCCTGGATGGCTTTGTTAAGGGCTCGTTCTTTTGAACCTTCATAGAGGCCGGCCATTACCAAACCTTTAAATTTTTCTTTTGCTGTTTCTATTAAACTCCAGTTTTCGTCCGTCAGCATTACGGAGTTGACATTACGGGGATTAATTTTTTCCATTTGTAATGCTTTCGAAAGCAATTGTGTTATTTTTGGGCCCAGACTACCGAGGTGCTCTTCAAGTGCCGTCATCAATCTTAAAACGGAAACTACTTGGGGAGAACTATCCTGATATGAACTGTCCAAAATAACTGGACGCTCCGATTGCTGTCTATTTGCCTGAGGACTAATAGCCGTTCGCGTTGGTGAATTTTCTTTGACCGCCTGCACATGATATAAAGGATCAATCAAGTAATCATTGGACATAGGCAGAGAGAGATTTTCACGCAACTTTATTTTAATGTTTTCCGCCTCCTCTGAATAAAGCTCTTCTATGCGTATCTTGAAAAATCTCACCCATTCCGGTTGATAATTATATTTTCGATGATCAAGGCCGGCGGCAATTAGTTCGTCTTTGCGACGTTTCCAAAACTTCTGCCATTCTGCGTTGTATGACGGATGTCGTTCCGGATCTTCCTTATACGCTTTAAAAGAATTATTCAAATCGCTTAATTTCTTATCAACCAAATGACGATATTCTCGCCAAATATCGACCCTCCGTGGGGGAGATATAGTTAAGCGCTTTGTCGGGAGAATATAACCAGACGAATAAGAATGTGGTGGAGATGGAGAACGTTTCCGATTTAGTGGTCGCTTGGGTAAATGTTTGTCTGGGGCATTCTTCAAAGTTCCCTTTAGAAAATCTTCCACCATTAACCTATGCGTTTCGTTATCCACCGGTGTTAATGGTTCTCTCTCAATAGCAGCAGAATATAATCTGTTTACCGACATTAATGATGATAATGAAGACGAGTTTTGCGGTTGATAACCAAAGCCCTTTGGATCATGTTGTCTGGGCCCGAGAGCGCTAGTCGATCTTTGGACATGACGGTGCCGATCACGCATAGATTGCGATTCTCTGTTGCCGTGACGTACATCAGCACTACAAGTTTTTTTATCAAAAAGAATGCTATTGGAAACTGTCATTGGTTTGAAAAAGTGACGATCAGCAATAATTTGATCAATTTCTTTAGAATCCAGCAAATGGGTAAAAGAAGGACCATAGTGTTCTGATGCATGCCGGCAAGAGAAAGCTTTAGCTAGGATTTCATGACGATTAACATTGAAATCTCGTTCAAAACTCTCATAAGGGAGATTGCGTCCGTGGTGCTTTTCAATGGCCACAGCCAATTTTCCCAGCACCGGTGTCATCACTTTAAAAATCTCGTGTTGAGGAACGTCGCCCATGTATTGTTTATAATGACGTATGGCAGTTGGAAAATGCTTCTCACAAAATTTTAAACGATGATTATAAGCCTGCAAATGACGTTGCATTGCAAAACCGTCCAAAATCAATTCACATAAACCACATTCGTATCTTGGGGAATGATCGTCACGACTTTTGATAATCTTTATAACATATTCTACACCCAAAAGACCCAGAATTTCATCTTCATCATCTTTAAAACTAAACGTTTTATTAGTAAAATTAGGTTGATTCTGGCTACATGGCAAAGAAGAAGAAGACGACGATTGTGTCTGCAAGGATGATTTATGTTTAGTAGGTATAATTACTTTATCTGTTTCATATCGAGGTTTATCAGTTTTCTTATTGTTGTTTTCGCATTCAGTTTCCTTTTCGGTGAACGCCGAAGCTGGATTCAAAACTAGCTTCTGCCTTTTAGATGTTTCAACACTAATTTTATCGCTAGAGCGGGATCGTTTTACGGCTGAATTTTTTGTTTTATCTTCTTTATTACTATTGACCTTGCGAGTTCCCGGCACAATAGGATAGATAGCTGCGCTATCTTCGTCATCAATAATTATCGATGAGGTTTCGTCAACAATGTTAACACCGTCAACGTTGTTAGATCCATTTTCAGCAGATTTTTCACATATATCATCATTTTTTGCGCTTTTTTCAGATGTGACTGTAATGGGTGCAATGTCTTCATCGTCAATAATTATTAGGGGGGAATCTAGTGAATTGTCATTGACATGTACATTTGTTTGATCATCACCTTCTTTTTGATTCTCCTGACCTTTTAAAGCGAATGGATTTTTTACCAACGACGCCATTGACTTAACACTAATTTTGCCCTTTACCGGAGAAACTTGTCTCTCTATTTGACGAGCACTTGCTAGCACCTTGCTTGTTTGACCAGTCTCATCTTGCATTTCGTATTCGACTATATCTTGTGTCTCGGATTCTTCTTTATTCTTGTTCGATTTCAACTTAGCTGCGTTACTACCGAATGAGTTATTTATTTTGTCATATTTAAGGAGATTTTCATTTGCGATAGGCATTTTCGACATTATGATCGATGCCATCTCTGGCACTTTCTGACTCGTTTTTCCTAGTTTAGGCGGCTGAGATTGTTGAGAGTTTCCATCAACTGTTCCATTTGTAGATTTTGGTGTAAGAGAAATCTTGTACGTTTTGAAACTTGCTTGCTGAATGCTTCCACTTTTTTGTTGCTGTTCTTGAATAGTAGTATTTCCGTTAGAAGTGTCGAGTATTGTTTGCACTTCATTTTGAATTCCGGGTTTGCTTGAAGAAGTATCTTGTTGTTTGTTCTTGGTTTGTCCTGCATACTGAGCTTTGCTTAATTTCACATTATTATTATTATTAGCCTTAGATGCTGCAGCATTTCTTGAAGCTGCATTTGGGGACGATTTGCCCGCAACTACGGAATTGTTTTTTTGAATAATTGGGTTTTTAACAGTTCCCGTCTCTAGAGATTTGGAAGCAGGTTTCTTGATTTCTTTATTCCAGGCATTTTTATCAGTAGCCTCATCGTCATCATCCACTTTTTCTTTTTTGACAATTACTTTAGTTAGACCAATATTTTTCAAGCTTCCAAAAGATCCATTTGGAAGTTTTGCAGCTTGACTATTTTTTTGCTTACTATTTTGAATTTTCTTTGCCGTTTCATTTGGATTTTCGACTTTTCCCAAATTTTGCACTCGCACCACCAAATTGGCACATTTTTCTAGTTTGGCTTTACCTCCACTAGCTGTCAGATGCTGCGCCGCCTTTGTTATATGAGATCGTAAGTCGGCGGCATTTTTTTCACTGTTTTGCGACGTGATAGTAACTTGATTACTAACGTTTGCAATATTTTTGGTTTTTGTAAAATTATTCGCTGTAGAAACTTCGGCTTTGACCTGCATAATTGCTCCATTAGCGGCCGTAGGCTGAGTTACGGCCTGTTTGGCTGCCGATGCTGCATCAGTGCTAGTAGGATTTGCAATTTTGGCATTAACTACACATCTCGACGTGTTTACTTGTGTTGTACTGATAGTAAGAGATTTCTTCGCCTTGCTTTCGGCTGTAGAAGGTGGTGCTACGCCAACGCTACTCGTTTCCTTTGCCGTATTACTTTTTGTTTGAATTGGCGGCAGAAGCTTACTTTTCGGATGAGTATAATCGGGATGATATAAATGCAGTACACTCTTCAATTGTTGCTTATGACGTTTACCATCGAGATGAGCGCATAAATTCTTCATGCTATACTGAAGAACTTTGCAAAGATTGCATTGGAAAAGTCGCTTGACGGCATCTTTTTGTGTGACCAACTTTTGCCAAACAGCGCCAACGCAATATTCTACAGTAAGAATTTCTTGTTGAGTTAAATGTTGTATAAGTTCGGCGAACTCACTCTTTTGAAGACGATCATCTTCCGTCGACATTGTTACGTAGATTTAATAGTAAAATCGATTCAGGTGGTAATTAATTGTTAACACAATACAACAACCAATAAGCGGTGATTTCAAATAGTTTAATTAAAGCCGTTAATGAAAAAAACGGCTTTTTACTATGCTATTGTCCTGTTAGTCAATTTCTTTTTCTCAACTAAAATTGAAGGAAGAGAAAACACAACACATTTATGATAAACATATAACAAAAGCAAATAACTTTTTTAGATTTTCCTGAAATTGCACATACATCTGAAATTTTGCGGAACATTAATGCCGCACATAAAGTGCAAGACACACAGATTATTCAGTCTCCATCATTCTGCTTTGCCTAGTATTCGTTTTAAGTCTCAACTATGTGTGATACGTTCAGATAACCATATGTTCGATTAGGACTAGACGGTACGTTAGAAAAATATCGTATATATATATGCATATATTTAAATTGTCTGACTACAATCAAATCAAATCGTTTTAAAATGCACAAATTCTTTAATGAAAGGATTCAAGCAGCCGAGAAAAAATAAAAACTTCCAACTTTATAACCCATAGTTTCTTACTGAGTTTTCTCACCTCCAACAATAATCATCCGCAAATGGTCTTAATCACTTTTTAATAATATATATGTATATATACAATATATATACAATATATAGAGACTTCTATTTATAGAATTTTCTATAGAGTTTATAGAAATTACATCCTTACATTAGATAATTGAACGATCAAATTGATCGTTCATTAAAAAGATATACTTTACATACTCTTTGACGGAAAAGAATTGTTCCTTTTAAGCTATTCCACGAACGAATGCAAATTTGAGAATCATCACAAGAAACAAAGCGCTGTTCAAACAAATGATGAGACAAAAAATGTAGACCATAGAATTAAGCACACTTCAGTATACTCTCTGAAAGTATTCGGCAACATGGAAGCATTAGCTTCATAATCTTTTGACTTTGTTGCTGATATATCTCACTTGCTAATGGCGTTGCCCCGCGTCGGACTTTGCTCGTTCAGTTGAAATGCTTCATAATGTATTTCACGCAGCTAACCTCCCGAAAACACGCCATCCGATCCTAACGTTCATGATCATTGACTTGCATCATAGTTCCTGCTTTTCGGATCGTGTCCATTCCTCATCACCTATCGAGGGAGATACAGCAGCAATCTCTTGTTAATTAGATAAAACCAATAATGCTTTCCACGTTCAACATTCCTCTCAGGCCGTGGCCTAAAAACGGAAAGCCACCTTTGTTTGCACTTCACGAAGTTGCCCTTTCACATAAACGATAAGGACTGGGCTTTGACATAGAGAAACAACAACATCATCTAAAACGATACGGTACCAAGTACAACTTGACTTGAGAAATTTTTCAAACAAAAGCATTATACATGCAAGTTGATAAATAATACAAAAGCTCCTCTCCCTCTCTACGTGCCCCTTAATCGGATGAGAGAGCATTAGTGCAACCAACAATATTCTTAAGACAACCACAATGCAGACTGTCACCATTTCACCTTAACTGTATTTAGCATTGTTCTTCAATTTTAAAAAGATAGCTGACGATCCGCTATAGCACACTTTTCCACTTTCATAGGCGGCTTTGCTAGCCTCACGACACGAAAGTTTTCTGATATGATATTCTTTTTTGAGCCGACCTACCCAATGAAAGGATAAGGTTAAGATTGACATCCCAGATCAATATTTCTACATTGAGATTTATTGCCTCCATAGGTATACGCGACACGCATCCAAATTACCCTCGATGCATTCTTAATCGAGTTTTAGAAGTCTCACACTGACAGATTGGTATTTCGCTTTGTATAAAACCGTAAGGTTGTTACTCTCCATCTTGCATCCAGTTTTCTTAACTTAGAAGAGTACTGAAGAATCAAGAAGATGTTCAGAGGCATTTCCCGCTTTACATAAAATCATTAGGTAATTGCTCTCCCTTTTGCATCCAGTTTTTTTGACTTAGAAGAGTACTGGAGACCCAAAAAGATTCTCAGACAGTGACAGATAACAATTGGCATTTCCTGCTTCACACAAAACCTCCAACGACATTTAAGTATTTCTTAGTATGAGGTTTTTTTAATTTGATTAATTGTATATAGTTTTATTGCAAAAAGATGAAGTTCCCGCTCGACAAATCGTATAAAGTAGTTGACTTCGGTTTCCTTACTTCGATAGCCTTAGCATTGGATCCTTAATATGAGTCCTTTCTGCTTCATACATGTGCAATAAGATTTGAACACTGATTTAAGCTGTGCTTTCATTTATACGCTTTAAGTAAGAATCAGTCGCCATTCATCATTTCCAAATATAGTAAACAATTATTAGCGCCAAATTTTAGACGTCTATTCCAATCAAAGGCAAACTAAGGGCTAAATAATGGAGATCGCGTCAGGATTTCCTACGGACTTCCTTCCTTCAATTTTTATTTTCTGATCTTGTAAGGGTAAAATGCAACAAAATTCGATTTTAGTCCACTTGAGATAGCCAATTACATTTATTTATTAATTGAATATTCCCAAGAACAAAAAAGTAGGAAAGAATCTAATATATAGATTATCCAACATATCTGGAATATAATTTATTTTATATAATATCATAAAACGCATATGCAGTCCAGCACGATAGCCCTTGAAATTATATAATTTTATAGAACTGAATAAAACTGAAAACTACAGTGTTTTAAGGGGAAAATTATTGAAAATAATTTACGCCAAGTTTGCTTCGCGCAGTAAAAATAATCTTATTATTATTCCAATACGAAACATTTTCTCGTTACGTGATCTATCTTTTGATCGCATCCACACATTTCACAATCATAATCATTCACATTAGAGAGTAGTAAATATTGCAATATTAGCCTAACATAGGCTTCCTCGTCTTTTTCTTTTTTTTATTCTTCTGCTGGAATCTAACAAAACTTTCGAGTACATTTATGATTTAACAAAAAAAAAAAAAAAAAATAAGTCAAGGCAACTGGCAACATTTCACTCCACCAATCATACCATTCTAAGGCCACAAATCTTCCATAAATTGCTTCCAAGCGATTGTTTACTTATTGATGAAACTATTCCCGATTTTTGTGACATCCGACATCTCCGATCTGATTCTGTAATCATTTAAATACTTCATTTATTCCATAAATCTACCCGTTTGGCCACTTTTCTTTCCTTTTAAGCATATGCATATGTTCAAAATATGATTAATTTTTACATACATTATGACGACCTTTGGAAAATCCTTTTGTTTTTATTTCTTCTGATTTTCTGCTTTCTCTTAATTCACGACTCTCTTTCATTGATTTGATAAATTTTCTAGCGGAAAACAACTTCCACAAGCCGAATTTTGCACAAACTTAACATTATATCAATCAATAATAATAGCAGCAGTTGTTGCCCCTCATATGATGACAGAAGAAGCCGTTACCGTTAAGATATTATCCAATTTTCATGTCTATTAAAATTGATTTTTTTAATAACTTCTTTGCGTAATTCTCTGAAGATAAGAATGAAGATTGTTGTTTATATAACAGAGCGATAACGGTTTTAAAATGTATATATATATATATATATATATATAGAAGATAAAGACAGCAAAAAATTTATATTTATCGGCCATTAACGGCGATTCATTTGAAATTCCATTTATTAGTTACTCAGGAAATAAGAAGTGAAAGTTTAGTCTTCTCTCTCTCTTTCTCCCTTTACTTTCTAAATATTACCATCTTCTAGTAGCTAATCCTTACCATTATCGTCCGAGCCAGGTCGACATGACCGTTGAAGACTTCTTTAAAAATAAAAATTAAAATCATTTAATAATAATAAATCTTTTCTAATGAAAAATTGCAAAATTCGTTAAATGATTCTAATAAATTTTATTTAAATCATGAAAATCGTTTATATTTGTGAAAGGTGCTGGAAGTATGTTAAAAAATCTCAATTTTTTTTATTCCAAGAGCCCCAACCGCCTTGGTTTGTAGGCCGCGATCCCATTGGGCCTAGATACGAGACGTGATTGGCTTGTCCAATTTGAGGAATGCTTTTATTAGTTAATGGTAGCCTAGATCCACCACCACTACTCATGCTACCAGCCGATGGATTATTGTATTGCATACTGCCCCCTCTAGGCCCGCCGCTTGGCCCAAGATTAGAGCGTGTATTGTTGGTATTCATACCAACATTGTTGTTAAAGTTATTGTTGCTCAAGTTATTTCCGCCACTGTTGCTTGTCATCATTGGACCACTTCTGGTCAACAGTTTTGACATATCGTTTCCGCCGCCGCCACCACTTCCACCAAGTCGGTGTTGCTGCTGATGCTGGCGAGGTATAGAAAGCTGAGTACTGAAATTCGCTAAACTGGATCCTGTGCTAATTTGTTCATTTTTTGATGTATACGAACTGCCGGTATTCGTCATTCTGATAACCGGGGGTGGTGGACAAGCAACCATGTCTTCTGGTCCGCCAACGCTTGATTCGTTCATTAAATCCATAAGAGTGTCTGTCAATGACTTTTCATTAGGCATTGATTGTTGACGATTTGAATGCTTTCTTTGCATATCCGACATTAATTTCGGCGCTTGTTCTTCTGTCATGAAAGCTATTTGTCGCCAACCCATCTTTTCCGCGTACTTCAGTAATTCAGTGGTGTACTGTATAACTCGATTAAATCCACCTACTTTTTTATCGTCTAGGAGACCGGCAAAAAGGATGCCTTTCAATTTTTCCATTGCAGTTTCGAGTAAATTGCAAGTAGCTGGCGTTAATATTTTAGCTTCAAATTCTACAATGGAACCGTGAAAATTCTTTTCCAATTGCAAAGCTTTTGCAAGTAAATCCATAACTTTGCCACCCAAACTACCAAGATGTTCCTCTAAAGCAGTCATCAAGCGTAAAACGTGTACTAGATTAGAATGGTTGTCCGAAATGTTTGCAATTTCAGCTGGAGCGGCTGACTGCCCCCAACCTTGAACGTTATCTCCCGCTATAGAAGAAACTGTAAAGCGATCTTCACCGTGCCTAGACTGTTCAGTTGTTTGTCTTTTATTAACCAAAACGTTGCTATAATCGTCGTCTCTTTGCCTTTTAACGTGACCTTTGTACTCCTCCTCCCTAGGATAAGATATTCTATTTGGAGAGTATTCATTTCGCTGCCTGTGATAACGATCAACTTCATGTCGTGACGAGTCGTCTTCTTCAGCATCCAAAGGTATATCCAATTTCCGTCGAATAGTAATCTGAGATTTGTGTAAAGCTTCTCCAAAGAGTTGCTCAATGCGCTGCTTAAAAAATTGAACCCATTCGGGTTGAAAATTGTATGTGCGATGATTAACACCGTCTCTCTCCAAGTCCAATTTACGACGTTGCCAAAATTCATTCCACTCTTGTTCATACTGCGGATGACTTTCCGGATTCGTGCGATATCCTTCGTAAGTATGTTCTATTTGGGTAGCTGCGTTGGCTAATTCGCGGCGATAAATATCCCAAATGTTGAATGCTCCTCCGCCCGTTCTTTTAGGAGATATTGTCCTGGATCGTGAAGTTTGGCGACGATGAGGTGAACTACATCTATCATAGACCGGTGGAGACGCACTCCTTCCACGGCCTTTGTTCATCTTTGCGTTGTATTCCCTCATTCGAATCAAAGGATCATGACTTATCTGACGTAGATAAACCTTTTCGCTTGGAGTAGTTGCGAATATAATTCCTTGATTGATGTTCCACGAAGTGATACGACCAACTTCTCCCGACTCAATAAATGATTTTTTAATATTCTCGATATCGTGCTTTGAGACAACATTAGAAAAAGAAGGTCCATGATTTTGAGATGCGTGTAACAAACCATAAACCTGAGCTATCAACTCAGGCCGTTTGTTTTTATAATCTTGAAAGGAAACGTTACATGGCAAACTACGACCGTGATGCTTTTCAATCTCGATGGCTACTCTTCTGACAATTTCTCCCATGACAGCCCGAAATTCCGCATATTTCATATGACCCATAATAGTCTCATATTTTCGCATTGTGTCTGCGTAGTGAAGATCCAAATATTTTTTAATGTGTTCAAAATTTAATAAGTGACGCTGGATTTTCTCATCACTGCCCAGAATTTCGCAAAGCCCGCATTCATATGTTGGCGATGCATCTTCTTCATGACGCTTGACGCATAACACATATTCAACACCAATATGTCCCCAAAAGGTAGTTCGTTCATTCTTTCGATCAATTAAGTTGTCCGCCTTTTTAATTATCTTTTTTACAAGCTCTTCCAAAGTAGTAACTTTAGCAGAAACTGTATTCGGTAAAATAGGAATTAAAAATTCATTATCTCCGTTGCTTTCATCGTCCGAAGATTCTGGTTGTTGCCATCTTTCCAATTCACTTTTAAAGTAAGATTTCGCGTTCTCGTGTATTGAAATTGATAAACTGTCGACAATTTGAATCGAACAATTCTTAGTGACTTTGGAGCTTTTCTCATAATGTAAGGCCTTGACAATTAATTGCTTACATTTATGCGTATAACCATTGAGATGCGAGTTTACGCTTTCTATACCGCTGCAATGTACTGTGCAAATGTTGCACGTGAACGCTGCCTTTCTAGTAAATGTCTTCCAAGTAATAACTTGTTGCCACTTATCTCCGGTCGCACAGAACAACAACTCCGGCAAATCCTCAAACGGCAATGTTACTTTAACGAACATCTGCTCTGGCTTATCGATTTTTGTCTCCAAACTTAAATTAACTAGAAAATCGTCTACGCTTTTCTGTTCTCGTCGCTGAACTACTTCCGCAAAATGTTTAGCTGTACTAGCATCACGACTAAAACTTCGTATTTGCCCGTTAACTTCCTTGAGTGCGACTTCCCTATCCTTTTGTGCTACCTGCTCTCCCCTAGCCAATTTCACATCTGCTTTTCCATAAGTGAAGAATGGGTGATATAATTGAGTAATATTAGTTCGCAGATTGTTGTAATGTTGCTTCGATTTAAAGTGCCGATTGAAGTTTTCAAATTTCACTTGTTTTGTGCAAGCTCCGCACATAAATGAAAATGTCTGAAAGTTGGCGTCAACAAGGCGTAGCCATTTTTTCCTCGGTACAAAGACTTGTGTAAGAAATACATTTTCCATACTTAAATAAGGTAGAAGCAATGAAAATTCCTCATTGGTGAGGCGATCAGTAAAATGCCAACTGGGCGAATCTGACATCTCTATGCTTTTCGTTTTTATGCTCTGCTACTCCGAGCGAATTATTGCAAAGAGAAAAAATTTAGCAGTTTTTTTTGCCGGAAATGTATCAATCTCGATCTAGTGGCAGAAATAACTTTAACAACAATATCGGTATACAACAAAGCTAGGAAACAAAGATTTTAGTCCCGAAGTAAAGGCTAAGCTTTTTAACTAAAATTGCAAAGAGAAATAGAGATACAGATTTATTAATAATTGTACCGACGCATCTCAGCCAAAATAAAAATTCTAACTAAAATTTATTGTATATTTATAAATTTGTCGTATTTTAACGCAAAAGATGATTTGGATGAAACTTCTACGACAGAAAATTTATGCACTTGATCTCTGCTTTAATTAATTCTAAGAAACTTTGATTACACTATACACATCGCTTTGCATTTTTAGACGGCTCTTGTTACTTTTCTTCATATGCGGCAAATTATTGTCCATTCCAATACATATCTCCAAATTTACTCTCTGCAATGATCAGCTTTAGGTTTAATTAAGAAGCCGGGTGACGGCTTAATCCTTTCTGGCCTCTTTTACCAACAAACTTACAAGTGGCTTTTTCCCCTTGAATCACCAGCACCCCTCCCCCTTCCCCCTCCCCAGCCCATCACTCACAAATCACAACAAAATGACGTAAAGTTCGATTTTTATAGCATATATGTGAATGTCTAACGACGTTCTGTATTTAGTATAACATCACTAAAACCACATAAATTTAATATGTTTTAAAGACTGCATATGTATTATACTAAATAGTTTCCCATTCTGAAGTAGACGCTTAGTACAGAAAAAAAAATTTATTTCGTCGCCATTTTGAAGTTTTGGATTATTTAGTTCAAATTTTCAGTTCCTACCTGTAGTAAGATATGCAGGATACTTTTGTTCAATACATTAATTAACATTAAGTATTATTCTATTTGTTCATTTTCTTTTTTCTTTTTTTTTGTATCAATTAATTTATTGAAATAAATAAATCTCACCAAAGTAAGCAAAAATGCTTGCGGAAAATCAATGCTAACAATGCTTCCTATTTTTATTTTTTTGACACTCATTAAATTCTCTGCTGCGAAATTAAGTACTTTCGGTAACAGTATTGCCACCCTTAAATTTTTAAAGTTATATATTAATGGAATTTTCAATTTCATTAAATATTCATTAATGACAACTTAAGATTTCTAATTGAATGGAATTATTATGCAGTATTTTTTCATACAACTCTATACAAAAAGCAACAAAGGTAATCACAATTTTGCAAGACATGATCAATCGTCTACATGACATACGATTGAAGAACTAAAATGGAAATAAACATATATTCACCTGATTGCTAATTCCCAAATAATTTTAATATCTTTATATACTGCATATATACTTGCTTTCCGCATGACAAATATTTCCAATAATGGTATGAAATATTAAAAAACATTAAAACCGTCAGTATTTCCTAAGATTTCCTACCTTCGAATACTCTATATTCGATTAACGTAATTAACCTTCTATCGAGGGCCTAATAAAAAAATGTAAAATTTTTTGTAAAATTTTAAATTCGTGTCATAGAGAGTAAAATTCGTCACATCCTCCAACATACTTTTAAAATATTTTTCAAAATCCAACGAAAAGCACTAAACGACGACATCACTTGACTTAGAATCGTTGCATCATTCGACGTTGTGTTTATATTTCATGAAAACTTCACTTTTTTAAGAGTTTCAATTCACTTCAGAGAATTTACTTTCAAAATAGAAAATCAACTCGATTTCTACTAAATCACATTCCACTCATATATACTGATTAGCACGTCTTGCATGGTATTACATATATTTATTACGGTGTAGTAGCGTTTTGCATATACGCCCTATTCTGAATAGCGTATGGTGAAATCAGGAAGATATAAGATAGAACCAATAATTCATTGCGCTATTAAAAGATATTTAGTGAATATAATGAAATTCGCGTAAACATTGTATGGAGAGTTGTTAGAAAGCTCTTGTAGTTGGAGAATAACTTTCGCAGTCGAAAAAATGAAAGTAACTTTTTACTTACCGAATTTTTTTTGTTTTGGGAATATCCTTTCTTCAAGGGTACAAATGACTCAGGAGTCCGGTCACGTCATTAATATAATTAGCGAACTGAATTATTTAATGCACTCGCGTTGGATTGCTTTGTTTTAGAATTTAGAATTTTTTTATTTTTTTCGCATTAAGTATATCACTTAAATTTATAAAGACCAAATTTTAATTGCGAATTTATAAATTTTTATTTTCCCAAAAAGACGAAATATTCAATTTGCTTTTGACTAATTTTCTAAGCTTAGTGTCTTATAATTGAAAAAAAAAAATAAATAATAAATGGATTGACAACTTGGATTCATCATGCTGTCTTTATGAATTTCATGTTGCCATCTCTTTAAATTTTCTTAAAATCTTATGCATTTAATCCTTCTTAAGTCATCTGTCGAAGTTATTTTTAACATTTGATGAGACACTTAATTCCCTTTTTACTCCACGATTTTTACATACTTTTTAAAATTGTTTCAATAGAGAAATTGGACTTTATTAGAAGTATCTTGCCCAAGTAAAACTATGTGCTTAAATATTATTTACTTTATTTATTTTCCTTAATATTTTTCTAACTTCTACTATAAGGCAGTACGTATACAATTCCAAGCAGCATATCAATAAAGCAAGCAAAATCGTTAACTATCGCATCGCAAAAAAAATCAAAATTATTCTCTAATTTCCTTAAACCTAAAAAACTTTTTAATTTTACATCCGGCAGATTTGGTAGTTATTCTTTTTTATTTGATTAACATGCAACCATGTGGGGCATGTTATTTTTAGTATATTAGTACTATATTTTTACAACTTTGTAAGGTCTTCGGCTAATGGTGGGATTTTTTCGCATGTTTCGTTGTTTTCTGATTTTTTATTGGAATTTCTTTACCATAGCTGTGCCCGTATACCCATAAAAGAAGAAAAAGTAATCCGTGAAATCGGCTGCCATCCTTAAACCAAATAAATCTTTTCAAACGCCATTCAGATATGGATCACTCAGGAAGTAATCGTTATGAATTATTATTCATAGACGACGATGCCGGTACACACGCACAACCGGCAGAAACGGCTCCTAAGCAAAAGAAGCAAACTGCAGCGAACAATGCGACAACTAAAAAAGCAACAACCGCTGCTAATAAAAAAACAAGTCCAAATGCCGAAAAAGAAAATAAATCTGGTGCGCTAAACAAGAATGACGCAAACAAAAAGATAACGGGTGCTCCTCAAACAAGCAGCAAGGGTAGTCAGGGAGCTCCGGGTGCAGCAACTAACAATAATAACAAGAATCGTCCGAACTTTGAGGGTGGCGAAAACCGTAAGGTTGCATTCAAAACACAAAACGGTGAAGGTCGCGAACAGCGCAATAATCGTCGAAATTTCCGTGAAAGTGGTGGTGGTGGTGCCACCAATGAATTTGCCAATGAGCAACGAGAACCACGCCAATTCAGAGATCGTGATAATCGCGGAGGACCACCACGTAATCGTGAAGGGGGATTTCGTAAACGTGAATTTGATCGTCAATCGGGATCTGATAAAACAGGTATGGTGAAAAAACTGTTAGATAACAATGGGGTTTATTTCAAAGGGGGGTAACAAAAAATTAAAAGAACAAAAATAGTAAAGTTGCGCAGATTAAAGAAGACGTCATGAACAACTGACATACCGTTGCAGGGATTACTGCTTACTTTGTTAAGGAATTCTTTTATTCTTTGCTCTTTTAAAAGTCAGTTTTTATTTCAATGCTCATTTTGATTTTTGGCAAAGGCGTAAAGGCTGTTGATAAACGTGACGGTGCTGGAGCTCATAATTGGGGCTCGGTGAAACAAGAAATTGAGGATATGAACAAATCAGCAAACGAAACTGAAATCACTCTTACCGACAAAGAGGAATCGTCAAACGAACAATCACCCGAACAGCCCGCTGCGCCTGAAGAAGAAGAGACCAAAGAAATGACTCTTGACGAATGGAAAGCCATGCGTGGAGAACGCTCCAAACCCCAATACAATTTACGCAAACCAAACGAAGGCGAAGATACATCTGAATGGAAGAAGATGATAGTGTTAAATAAAAACAAAAAAAAAGGTGAGGAGAGCAGCGAAGAAGAACTTGAATATGACCCGTCCATGTATCCTCAACGAGTTGGCCGTCTACAGCGTATTATGGATATACAATTTAATTTCAATGACGGCCGTAGAGGTGGATTTGGAAGAGGCCGCGGCCGTGGTAATCGTTCTGGCGGTGGTGGCGCTGATAAGCCCCAACGCGTTGATTTCGGCCGTGCCGAAACAGCCGTTGGAGGAGCTAGGCAGCGCTATTTTGGTGATCGACAAATAAAACGCGGGCAAGTTAATACTAACTTTAAAGTTGACGATGAACGTCAATTTCCCACTCTGAGTTAAGCTCAATGCGACATTACGGATGGCAAAAGAATCAGAATCACACAACGTCAAGACATTATGCATCAGCGCATTTTAAATTATATCATGTCTTCAAAGCCATCTCATCACATGTAGTCACCCCTACCATCATAAAAAAATTTATAAATATCCCATTAAATCGATCCCCATACTCATACTACGCACCCTAAAATAAACCTTATATAGTTAGCCCTTTCCTAACCTCTTCCTGCACTACATTCACAACTTGTTCAAAATTCTTTTTACTCCCTAAACATATACGTAATAATATGGAAGTGAAAAAAGAAAAACAACAACAATTAAAAAAGGCAAATTGTTAAATTTTAATGGTTATTTTTCTCGCAGAATATACATTAAATGAAATTAGTCGTAATCAAAATTGAATTAAGTTCAACTTGAATTAGTTTTGTAGTAGTGAAGATGAAGAGAGATGCGCTTAATATATATATACACACATACACACACATACACACAATTTGATGAAGTAGTTTGCGTTACGTTAGCGTTTTGTTTTGTTTAAGAGTTAAGAAACTTAATACATACTAATCATATACAACGGAGACGACGAGACGAGAAATCCCTAAACCCAGTCTACATCGCCTTTTGATAAGGTAAAGGTAAACTGAGCGCAATAAATATATCCCCAATATTCAACACCGCGGGATCGAGAAGACAGAAACAATTATAAACAGAAGAATTCTTGTTTATTTTTATTGAAATTTACCAAAATTACATATTACCAGAAAAAATCGAAATAAAATTGCATTTTGTTATTTTAATTTCAAATTTGTTTAAAGAAAGTGGTACAGTAAAATCTTTTTCTTGAAAAACGGCCTCTTTTATCCCAACTTGTAAAGTTCATGACTATTTTTAATTTTATTTTATTTTTTATGAGTAATAAAAAAATAAAAAGCATTTAATGAAAACTCTTTAAAAAATGCTCGTATAGTTTTGGGATTTTATAAGGCGTAGAGAATTGAATATTTTCTCGATAATGGTGTGTAAAAGATCTTTCCTTTTTCTTATTCGTCATGGGCCAGTGAATTGACTGTAGAACACGTTTGGATTCTTTCAATGAAAGCATCAACGTCGCGTACACTGTATGTTTTTCTTTCGCAAAAGGCAGGCTTAATATTGGCATCTTCAGAGTTCTCGCGAAGTCCCTTGGAATTAGTGGAGATATTTCCCAACTTTAAATATAAATAGAAATAGTGTTAATGCAGTAGGTAGGAATTTTGATTTACTTTAAACACTTATTACCGCGAAATGTTTGTACTCAGGAGAGATGGATTCTAAATGTAGTAAACGATTTTCAATCGCTTTTATGCGTCGATATAAGTTTCCAGTACGCTTTATATTTAAATACTCTTCAATGGTTTCTAAGCGTTCCTGCAATCCTCGTGGCAAAGTTGTTCTAATATTTTGTTTACTTTTAATATCATCACTATGTTGAGCCATTAATTTATCTAAAGTTTGCAAATAGTCTGGTCGTGTTTGGGGACCGTAAGTGTTCTCAACGCGCCGAACTGTCTCATAAGAAATTAATAAAAATTGTGCTGTATTGAAGAACTTTGACTATCTTACCTCTTAAATGACATTTGGAAAACTCTTGTTTAACGATAGTACTATTTGTACGCGCGCAAGTATATTCACTGTCGTCGTCTTTTATTAAAACAGGATTTCCAAATTCGTCTTCGTCCATTGTACAAGGACGTTTGACTGTGTAATCCATGATATTATTCAAATCGATTTCCTCTCTTTTCTTTTCAACGAAGCATTTTATCCGGCGTTTTATTTCATCCTCTGTTGCTGATATCTGTACGAAATTTTTGGCGACTTCGCATGAATCATCAATGTCACATATTCGGGTGTCAAACCCTAACCTGTCATTGGCTGCATTTTTGCATAAAAGTAAAGGTTGATTATATACTTGAAAATAATTTATTCCATCATTAACAAAAATTAACTAATTAAAATACAAATCAACTATAACAATCATTTGAGGTTTTACTAATCCACTGACATTCTTTGTTGGCTTTCCATGAAGATTCCTGATTGTCGTACATTTCCTTTTTCCAAATCGGCACGGTTTTCTTTAGTTCATCAATAGCAAAAGCGACAGATTCCAATGACACTTGACGATGTGGAGATGATATACCGATTACAACACTGGCTTCACCAACTGGCACTACACCTAAGCGATGATAAATGGCTATGTTTAGACAATCTGGCCAACGTTTGCGAATTTCGTCACATATATTTCCTAATTGTTTAAGAGCCATTGGTTCATAGGCTTCATATTCTAAAGACACAACCTAAATTAAACAAATAAAAAATGCACTTCATTTTTGTGACGCATTCCAGTTACGTTCTTGTTGCACAAACCCGTTTCCGTTCGAAATTGTCACGTGTAGTACCAATAAACATTGATATAGCACCGCAAGAATTAGCACCGATTAAATTACTAATCGCTCCTACATCAAGGTTATTATAAGTTAACAATAGATGATTCATTTTAACCTCCACTAATTGGTGGTATAAGAGCAATTTCGTCTTCTTCTTCCAAATGAAGGACTTCTTGCAAGTTATCACAATATCTTTCGTTGACAGCCAAAATTATATGATTACGAACCAATTGAAGATTAAAATCTGTGCAAATCTTCTCTAATAAATCGCTGACAACTATGTTACGTGAACGTAATTGATAAGGAGTTGCGTTAACGCCGGCCAATTCACGTGTTTTTGCAAAAAATAATAAGCGCACATTAATTGGTTGATTGTTGCTGGAGCTCATTGTCTTCTTAACAAACAAGAATAACTAAGTACTTCATTGCTTGAGCTTTTCTGAATTCATCTGCCAGTGGATTATTTATTTTATATCTAAAGAGCTTTATTGCGAGACAAGGTATTGGCTAAAATGGATGTAGATGCTAACAACTAGTTCATTTTGCTTATACAGACAATTTTAAGTGTTTCATTCTATTTTGTTTTTCTGTGACAAACGCACGGCATACATTAGATTGATCCCGTTGTCGATATTGAGCGAAGATGCGAAAGTTGTAACGTTTGCGTAAAATAAAATTTTGAAAACTGATAAGCCGAAACCATATGTCGACCTTGCGCACTTAACAAGCTTTTTTCATAGGTTAAATTTTTTTCTTCTACTTTTGAGCAAATCAATTATCCAAAACTTGCTGTGAAATTTAAAAAAAGCCCAAAGCGAAAGGCATGACAAGCACCGAAATATCTACTTTGCTTTTTATCATAGGCGACGATTTGATTATTATAAATTTATTGAATGTATTGAACCAAACCTCAAACAAAGAACTTTGTGTTCATGTTCGGCTCTTTTTACACATGCCAGGATTTTTGTTGTTAATTTCCTGAATAACAGAAGAGGAGAAGAAGTGTTGACAAACGTCGTCGCGTAACTTAAGAGTAGATAATAAATCAGCTTTATAAGAATAACTTGAATAAGATTTCATTTACAATATTTTCGCTGGTTGTGAACGTCGCCACTTTGAAAACATCGGTCCGAAAGTAAAAATCTTATCGCTTCAGTTGAGTTGAGTGGGAACTGAAGCTTTAAATTTATAAGAATAGCTAAAATACTAACGGCGTGTTTTGCCAGCGTTTTTTTTTTCATTCCGGGCGATAAGTTTTGCACTAAGTTGTTTGACATTTGTTACCAATCTTCATGACATGCCCTGCAACAATTTTTCTTATTCTTCCAAGAAAATGAACAAATTTCGATAATTCGTTTCAATTTTTATAACGTCCCTGTTTTTTGAATGGAGCAGCTGTTAAAAAAAAAGAAAAACGTTTGATGTGTTCATAATAATAATTTTTTTGGACTCGGAAATTTTATACAAATATTGCAGCAATGAAGTTGCGTTTTAACACGTACGATATTGTTTGCGGAGTTGCTGAGCTGCAAAAGTAAGTGGACCCTTGTACAATTTGAATTAGACCTCACATCCGGCTACTAATAAATAATTTGTTTAGGCTTGTCGGGTTGCGAGTTAATCAAATTTATGACATCGATAATAAAACTTATTTGATTCGCCTTCAAGGTAGCGAACATAAAACAATATTGTTGATAGAATCTGGCATCCGCTTTCATACCACCGCATTTGAATGGCCTAAGAATGTAGCTCCTTCCGGATTTAGTATGAAGCTTCGCAAGCATTTGAAGAATAAACGTTTGGAGAAATTGCAACAGCTCGGTGTTGATCGTATTGTGGACTTTCAATTTGGTATGAATGAAGCAGCTTATCATGTGATAGTCGAATTGTATGATCGAGGTAATATTATATTAACCGATCATGAATTTACGATTCTTTATATATTACGTCCACATCACGAGGGGGAGGATTTACGTTTCGCTGTACGTGAAAAATACCCTTTGGAAAGAGCCAAGCAAGGGAAAACTTTGCCAACTAAGGAACAGTTACAAGGCATTATTAATGAAGCTGAAGGAGGCAATAGCTTACGGTATATATTAATGCCTCTCGTAGATTGTGGTCCTACTGTCATAGAGCATGTGTTAATAAAACATAAACTTGATAACTGCGTAACACCTTGGAGTCATATAAGCAATGAATCTGCAGAATTATGTATTAAAGAGGAAAGTCAGAAAAAGGCAAAAAAGAAAAACAAACGGGAGGCCAAGAAGAGAGCCGACTGCCGTTTATTTGAACCGGAACGTGATCTTGATGCTGTTTTGGTAGCGCTGGAAGTAGGTGCAAACATTTATTTTATATTTGATAGTGGTCTGGGTATCATATAAATCAATTTTTATAGGAAGCCTTTGAACTTCTGGCGAAGGCACGCAGTCTTGTAAGTCAAGGATACATTATCCAGAAAAAGGAAGAAAAGCCAGCTATAGAGGGTTCATCTAAATTAGAGCACTTTTATCAAAATATCGAGTATCAACCTTATCTATTCAAGCAATATGAAGGACAGCCAGTGGCAATTTTTGAATCTTTTATGTTGGCAGTAGATGAATTCTATTCAACTTTGGAAGGTCAGAAAATTGACATGAAAACTTTACAGCAAGAAAGGGAAGCACTGAAGAAGTTATCGAATGTTAAAAAGGATCATGCCAAACGTCTGGAGGAATTGAATAAAATTCAAGAGCATGATAAGCGGAAGGCAGAACTTATAAGTTGTAATCAAGCTTTAGTAGATAATGCTATTCTCGCTATACGCTCGGCTATTGCCAATCAGATGTCTTGGCCTGACATACAAGAATTGGTTAAAGCTGCTCAAACCAATGCTGATCCTGTTGCTGGAGCCATACATCAATTAAAGTTGGAGATCAATCATATATCACTTAAACTCTCAGACCCTTATGCTGTCTCCAGTGAGGATAGTGACGATTATGGAGAGTCTGGTATTAAGAAAGAAAAAGATGTCATGGTGGTTGATGTCGATTTGGGACTGTCGGCATGGGCAAATGCTCGCAAATATTACGACTTGAAGCGGTCTGCAGCTCAAAAAGAACAGAAAACTGTAGATGCTTCCCAAAAGGCCCTCAAATCAGCTGAACGCAAAACCCAGCAGACACTTAAAGAAGTTCGCACGATATCAAATATTTCGAAAGCTCGTAAAGTTTATTGGTTTGAAAAATTTTATTGGTTTATTAGTTCGGAAAATTACTTGGTTATCGGCGGTAGAGATGCTCAGCAAAACGAATTAATTGTTAAAAGGTAAATTGTGTAGAAAACAGAGAAAAGAAAAATAATTCCCACATCAACTTATTTAGATATATGCGTCCGACTGACATTTACGTGCACGCAGAAATTCAAGGGGCCTCGAGTGTAATTGTACGAAATCCTGCAGGTGGTGAAGTTCCACCTAAAACTCTTTTGGAGGCAGGCACCATGGCTATTTCATATAGCGTGGCTTGGGATGCTAAAGTAGTCACGAATGCGTACTGGGTGCATAGTGATCAAGTCAGCAAAACTGCTCCTACTGGTGAATTTTTGGGCACTGGCAGCTTTATGATACGTGGGAAAAAAAATTTCCTTCCTTCATGTCATTTAATCATGGGTTTAAGCCTTCTTTTCAAATTGGAAGAAAGTTTTGTTGAAAGACATCGTGGTGAACGTAAAGTTCGTTCTTTCGATGAAGAACAGCAAGAAGATGAACAAGAAGCAAAAAGCCATATCGTCGAAAATGAACAACTCGATAGCATTTATGAGGTTGAAGAAGAATTAAATACCGAAGATAGTGGGAACGACGAAACTAAAATCTCTGAAGCAGCACAAACGCCAAAATCTAGCATGTCAGAGGAAATTGAAGAGGAGGACGATAAGAGTTCTGCTAACGATATCGCGGTTAAGAATACTTTTGAATTTCCCGATACCCAAGTTAAGGTGGAACACGATACTGGAAAAATAATCATTGAAAAAAGCAAAGTAACCGAAAATGAGCTAACTTCAACAAAAGTCGCACTTAAAAATTTAAATATGTCTGTCAAACTTTTTGAGGAAAAGGAGGAAGCCACTATAATATCTTCAGTACCGACTCACAAGAAACGTCAACAAAATGCAAGAAAACGTAAAGAAGAAAAAGCTTATAAGTCCCAAAAGAATCAAAAGCAACAGCAACAAGTGTCGTCGATCGACAATAGTAATGCGAAAAGTGCAATGCAATTTAAACGCGGGCAAAAAGGCAAATTGAAAAAAATGAAAGCTAAATATAAAGATCAGGATGAGGAAGAACGACAATTACGTATGCAAATTCTTAAGTCGGCTGGCAATATTAAAACGCTCGAAACTGATGCCAAATTTGATGAAAAAACCGATTCATCGAAACCGTTAAATAAGGTACAGCGGCAAGTTGAACCGAAACTAGTTACTGATGCTGACGGGGAAGAAGCTGATGATTTGCTCACAGGGGCTGATGTCGAAATGCTTGATGCGCTCACTGGCCTACCTTTTGAAGAGGATGAACTACTTTTTTGTATACCTGTTGTAGCGCCTTACCAGGCCTTACAGAACTACAAGTACAAATTGAGGGATCATCTCTTCCGGCATGATTTCATAAGTCTCTTTTTTACAGATATAAGGTGAAGCTAACTCCCGGCACAGGTAAGCGTGGACGTGCTGCAAAGACTGCCTTAACCATGTTTTCAAAGGATAAACTTTGCTCTGTACGTGAAAAAGATCTTCTCAAGAGCATTAAAGAAGAAGCTTTAGCTCGCAATATTCCCGGAAAAGTAAAATTGTCGGCGCCCCAGCTTCAAAAATATAGAAAATAAAATTGATTAGAGTCATTATTTAGATTAAAGTAACCTTAATCTAGACATTCTTCTCTGTTTTGTAAACGAAATGTAGTTAAATTTATAAATATTAATAACACAAAAGAAAACGTGTATGTAATGATGTCATATGATAAAGAATCATTCTTTAAATCAGTCAAGTAGTCTACAGAGAACAGGCTTTAGATTTCCTTCCTTATACAAAGGCTAATGGGATAGAAATGACTTGTGAGGTTTTGTCTAATGTGAACGAACGATTTCTACATGGGAAAGACACCGAAACAGATATAAAGAAGAAGGTAAAAGATCTTATTAGTGATCTATCGAAATTATTCGAAAAATTTTTCGACGATGAGAGAAGAATGTTCGAATTGAAAATGACTGTTTATGTTTATCAGATGTTATGACGATTTTTAGAACGAGTCAGTTTGCAAATGTTCTCTAGAGAAAGAGAATTAATTATATTGGTGTGGAGTTCTCTTACAGGTAAGTTTATCCCCAAATCTTAACCATTTAACTGCATATGCCGTATTTAAATGTTAATTCCAATCTTTACCGTAGTGCGTTTGACGGGTACGCATGTCATTTGAGATAGGAAGCGAAAATATTAGTGAAATGTAATGCGCATCCCATTTAATGTCATGTTTTGCTCATTACAGCAATAAGTTTGCTATAAATTTAGAAAAAAATTTCTTTCAGAGTATTGGTATATTTTTCCGTTATAAAATGGGTTGATAAATTTACCCTATGGAAACCTTAAAAGCAATACACATACATTTTAAATACCCTTCGAAAACAATTTCCAATGTACGATCCACTTCGTCATTTATAACCAGAAATTGCAGATTCTTATGCAGAAGATTTGGAGAATTTTGTCAATGATCGAGTAAACGGTCTAGAGTAGCCCCACAGCCAATTTATTATTGGAAAAACAAAGCTCATTTCATTTGTTTTTGGTATCAATAGAACCTCCACCAATTATTTATTAGAAAAACACAACAAATTTGAACGTTTTGTGGTATCAGTAGAACCTCCACCAATTATGTAATTTATTTAATTTGAATCGAAAAATGAATCAAAAATCTATACTTACCGCAAAGCACGAAATTGTTTACAAATCTATTCCTATTAAAAAACAAAAAATTACCCATAATTTAAGGTCTTACGAAAGGCTGCACAAGTCTGATCTCAATCATACTCGCTTTATTGACTTTCAGTTAACAACTACATGACTAATAATTCCGCTCATCATGAATTTTTATACTAATTTCCTTCGAAGTATGTACTTAAAACGCAGTTTTTTCTCCAATACGTTTGTCTAATGACTAACCAAAAGAACTATTATGATAAGTCATGTGTCGTCTACGTGGTTATTTGTGTACAACTTGTATTTGTTTTGCGAGCTAAGGAAATATTAAAATTGATATAAACCGCACACATTCTCCCTTACAAGCAGCAAATGAAGCCGCTATTCAGATTACACAACATCTATTTGAACATTCAACCTTATTTTCTTATATATGTAAAATACTATTGTTTTACATATATATATACATATATATATATATATATTTTTTTTTTGTTTAATTATTCACACTGGTTTTCTTTCTTTTCTTTACTTGACCTCGAAAAATTTTTAGATAAGCGGATATATATTTCAAAACTTTGCGGTTAATAAAACTCCTTGGAGTAAAAGCAATAATAATAATAGTAGAAAGATTTACAAAAGTATGTATATGTAGACTAAATGTTATTGTTTTGGTTGACTGAATGACGATGATGAGCTATCAATTTTTTCAATACATCAAGCATTTACATTGACAATTCTAGAGTGGATGACATGATTTCTCCATCTTGTGGCTCCTTCGTTGACGTACCACGATAGGCGTGTTGCCAATTGTTTTAAATGGCCGGTAGGTGTCTACGCCAATGTTAAATTTAACTTTAAACTATAATAATATTTATATGCAATCATAATAACACGATAATATAATAATATAATATATATATAATATATAATATAATCATAAAATAAGAATGATAATTAAAACTTCGCACAAGTTATTATTTACAATAAATTTAAGGCATGTTTATAAATAAATCAATGTTATTTAACAACATTGTACAACAAAAGGAACAACACTTTGCACTTTAAACCCGCCTCTTTCCGCATCAGGTTTTTGTGTGCAATAAGATACAAACTGTGAAGGCTTGTAGTTATAGCCGGTGTGGGGCAACAGCGTGATACTTGTAAATTTCATAAAACGGATGAAAATGTCCTTAAGGAACATGAACTCTTATATGTCATATAAAAAAAGACAAAAGAAAAGTTAATTGATTACATTTTGGTAAATTTCTGGATATACTAAGCAAATTATTGAAGAATATGCTCTTCAGCAAGAAGAAGCCGGAAGTTTCGGTCAAGAATCAACCAAGCTTTAAGCTCTTACATGTCTTTTCGGAACATATTTTCAAAACTTTGCAAGAGTTACACTAACAAAAGCAAATTTCGAAGATATTCCATCTGTTAACAAAGTGGAAACTGGTACTGTACTTGACAGTTGCCAATGTATATAGCACCTGACTCCTTTTGTCAAAAAAATGTCACAAAAAATGTTCCTTTTTCTTTTGTGTTGAGATTAACTAGATTAGGCCAGCAAGGATGTCTTATATGTCCATTCAAGAGAATTGTACAAAAAAGTTTGAGGAAAAAATTTTTGCAATATTTTGCAATTTAAAAAAGTTGACTGTTATCTATGGTCTATGGCCTCACCACACTTAGAATAACCGAATTGATTAAATTTTCCTATTTAGGAATTTTATTACTTTTTGATAATTTTTAAATTTTCAGCAAGTGTATATATTTATTATCATTGTGGTCTAAAAAATTGACCTTTATGGCCCAATTTCTCTACCGTTAATTTTTTTTTTTTTTGCTAAATTTCTGCTACAGAACAATTTTCGACATAAAATATTAGGCATTGTACCTTTTTCTGAAGAGGCTACTAATCATGGGAAATCTTATATGGTGTGGGTTTCAAGAAATAGACTCATTTGGACCTCTTAATTTGGATATCATATTGCTATCATTACCGAATTTTCATCATCAAACATTAACAATTAGACAATTTTAGCATCTGAGTCTTTACATTTCCTGGGAGTCCTTATGTGCGGTGGTATCCAAAAAATAGACCTATGTGGTCCAAGTTCGGTAAGGTTGACTTCTTTGACTATTAATTGTTATAAATGAATTTTCGCCATGAGATATTGAAAATTTTACGTTTTTTACCATATGAAGATCCAGTTTTCTTAGGAGCGATTAGGTGAAACGAGGTTCAAAAAATTACCTCAGCCGAACTAAATTCTTCTTACTAATTTAGAATTTCGAAGCACTATCATTCACCGGGCCGAAAAATCTTGAAAATCTGTAATTTTTTGATCGAAATGGCGTTGGTACTTGGTTCAAAATATGACAGGATGCCAAATTTCATTAAAATATCTCAAAAATTGCGACCTCTAGGTTGAACATAAATTTATATGGACAGATATTGGGACGGAAAGACAGTCAAACGGGCAGACAAGTTTAGATCGATTAAAAAAACGATTCTGAATATATATATACGTATATATATAATTAAAGGTGGGTCTATCCTAATCCCTTTTGGGTATTACGTACGCCCGCACAAACTTAATACACTCTGCGCCACAAGTGGTGGACCTTTTTCAACAATGAATTGTTAATTTTTATTCCTATAGGAGTGTGATCGCGTACCGTCGTATGCATCCACTTTGAATTGCGAATTATGCTGAATTTGCATAATTCTGTAGAAAAAAAAGAAAAACAAAAATTTTGTCGCACTTCATCTGGCTGAGTATTGCATTTCATAATGCAATACGATGCCAGGCGCCACAATTAAAAAATCACCATTTCTGTTAAGGTAAGCATAATTTTAATATGGAAATTAAGTCTAAATAGTGCACATTTTCAATAAAGGAATTAATTGTTATCAAAAGCAATTCACAAGCGTATTAACGCGCTTAAAAATATAAGGCGTTCAATCGGCCTAAAATGCAAAGATCAGGGACTACTTTACGTCGAGCATTATTGGCATTATTAAAATGCAGAAAGACTTGGCGCACTGAAGCCGAGCAGGGTAGGGCTCTAAAACAGTAAAACTTACCTTCACTTACCTACACCTAGGGAAGGATTCATCGGGAATCCTCCCAAATACTGTGCATTCTACCGCCACTACCCGCGGTTGCAAAGCTGTTTTTCATTTTCATTTTTTTTATTACACTATATAGATTTACTTTATACATGTCAATGTCGTTGGAATTTTTTAAAATAGGTGCATTAGCGTCTTGAATTTGACTACTTCTCCATCGTCGGTGTACGCTAAAATACCAAATTTTAAAAATTTCGTAAACGTAGTTCTGGAAAGCCGAACTTAAATTTGTTTATCTTGTTTGAAAGGTATTTTTGTATAAATTCATTAAGTGTCCATTAAAATATTTCTCTTTTCCTAATTTGGATGAAGTAGGCTTCCAAGTCCAGCCATATTTTAATTTATTTAATGAACACAGCTCCGTCAGGGCGTCTACAGAGCTCCGTTAACGAGGATGGTAGGTGTCTTTGCTACTTAAATTCGTGTACGTCTTCACATCCTCTTCACTTGATCACTTTCTGAATCGATCTCAGCTAAGTCTGCCCGGCTGTCTTGTTTCTTGTGTTCAACCTATAGTCCCCAATTTCTAAGATATATTCATGTAATTTGGTATACTGACATGCTTTGTCACAAAAACGAACGCTATTGAAAAACAGCGGACAGGGCTACTGTTTTTGATCATTTCCTTATTTTGAAAAGTCGTTATTTCAGTAACTGTGAGCGACTGTAGGGCATTTAATGATGATCTATAAAAATTATTTGGATTATTTTTGTGAATTTTTTATGCGATTATTTGCATTGAGTTTGATGTACATACACGTGTGTGACGGGCTTTTAAAAATAAATTATGCGTCTGTTTAAAGCAATTCTCTATATGTCGTAAATGTGGAATGGGGAAGGGAGAAATTTGTTT